CAGCGTGGTGTTTCGTGCCTCCGTCGCCCCGTCGGAGGGTTTTTCCCCCGAACACGAGGACGCCCTGGCCTTTGGTGCAGCCAAGGCGCCTGCCTGGCCGCGGGATAGCCCGTGGGTGGCTCGTAGCTGGCGTGGCGCCTCCTCTTGCGCTCTCCCACCCTCCTGCACCAGCGCGGTGGTTTGCACCACGGTTTCATTGTGCAGTTCCTGCACAACAGCCCGCAGGCGCCTCTGGTTGCGTTTAAACCGTTGTCCCATCTTTCTCCTGTGTTGCCTGTGGCAGGCTGGGTTTGTGACAGGCGCCAGCCCCGCGTCCTTCGAGTGGGGCAAGTGCGGAGCCGCGTGCTGGCACGGGCCGCCGCGATCCGCGAGGCTGGAGCGACCTCCACGAGCATAACGCTGACGGTGCCCCGAAATCCCTTCCTCCTCCGTGGTAAATCCGGCCCTCGTTACACTGCGGGGTCATGCAAATGGTTTTAAAGGTACCTGGCCGCTTAGACTGCGTCAAGCTGCTTCACGTTCACACGAGTGATTCCGTAAATCCCTCGTGCAGTTACAGGCACTTCTCACCGCGGCGGCTGCACTGCTGCAGAGCTCGGCTGGCTCCCATAGCCCTGCAGCTGCGCTCGTAGCAAAGCTGCCAACTGCTGCGAGCCGCCTGCACCGGGCAGGGTCTGCCCCCAAGCACCACGTTATCCAAGCTGGTCATGAGGAATGCGAATCTTTGGTTTTATTCCATGTATTCTGTTGCAAGACCTGCCATCACCATAAAGTGAACAAACTATGTAAATAAAAAAGGACTATACTGCTCTAGGTGTCCCTGCGTATGCAGGGGGGTTGGACTAGATGATCTCTAGAGGTCCCTTCCAACCCTAAGCATTCTATGATTCTATGATTCTATGTTTTCCCCCAAGATTATTTTTTTTGCATTCCTTGAAAAACTGCAATTTATGAAAATTATTTAGGTCCTGGGGTAGTGACAATAGGGCTATTTGTGAATCGTGATGTTAAACTTTCCACATCTGGATTATTAAGATTGTGCTGTGCTCCGTTGTTTCATTTTGAGAGCAAGGGAAAACCCGGGGAAGGAAATAGTTACAAGTCAGCATGACTGTAGTTCATCAAGAAATTTGAAGACTGGGTCCAACATCCCAGAGGAAGAAGTACGCGGTAGGATGGGATTGCGGAATTTTGAAAATTGAAAGCCCTCCCCAAATACAGTTGCTTCTCCATCTGCTTCATGATGAGTCTTTCTTTTCTATATCCTCAAAATGCATAGTCTAACAAGGTTAGGAGGTCCTATTCAGCGTATAACATCCCAGACCATGACCATTGGTCCTGTTATTTGCTAGCTCCTGGAAAACTGAGGCATTACAGCCCAGACTTGGCTCTAGTGTGGAACACAACACAACGCAGTGCTGAACAAACACAAAGGAAGATAAAATCTCTGCAACCAAGTGCTTGTCATTTTAAGCTGCTCAATCCTCTGCTAGACATAGTGTCATACTTCTGTCTTCTGCGTAGTTCTTCGGCTATCACTCCTTCTTCCCACTCTCCTAGGATCCCTCTTTCTTTTAAGCTACTGCATGACTCCTGCTTTGCTCTCCTGGACCAATACAGCAGGTTTTGACAGCATTGCGGATTGTGGAAGTGATCTTCACAGCTAGATGGCAACAAAAGAATTCCATTAGACTTCGTTCAGCAAAAGTGAGAAATACAATGTTGTGAGAACATTAAAAGCCATTGCCTAACTCTAATGTCAGTGACAGTCTCCTTCAATTTAAATATTTGCAATAGCCATAATTAAACACTTAGTAGCTGGCACGAATTTAAAATAGAAATGCATTGCGTAGTCTTACTGCTATGCAGTTTTTAATTCAGATTTATATCCTCCTTGGCTTTATGTCTAGAATAAATCTTGTGATTTGAAGGCCTTTTTATACAGTACAGTAATTGTCACAGAGGGCAAATTATCTTCTAGGTGAGTAGCAGATGATGGCCTTTTTTCTGGAAGCAGTTCCCTAAAGAGATCAAACCTCCTTCCAACATTCAAAGACAAAAAAATATTCACCTCTGTGCATATAGAAATGGTATGTTTAGGTCAGTTGGTCTCGTGTTTAACTGCTGTAGGCCATCATGTCATATCAACCTGAATGGTTCCCCCTTGCCCTCTAAAAAGCAGTGTTGAAACAGGGGCTGTTACTATGCGCTGTTACTGTCAGGGATGAAGATGTACTTGGGCTGGCCATGCCTTTGGAAACCATACATATGTGAACAAATACTGCTTGTCCTTTTGTTTTTCTCCTTATTTTTATTCTTTAGGAAGATGAATGTAGCACATCACAGCATAATCTATAATGATATTAGAAATAGAGACCACAGCATTCTTACCCAGATACTTGTCATTCTGCCCCAGAAGCCTCAGTTGCAAGGGTTCAGTTTTGTACAGCTCTTGATTCTAACAGGAAAAACAGGTCATCACAGATTAAAAAAAAAAAAAAAGACAAAAAGTGAACAAACTTTGATTCATATGTGCCTGTATGAACACAGTTCTGCTATTCAAACCGTAAAGAGGAAACAAAGGCTAAATTTCAGCCCTGAAGTACGTAGGCACACTGGGATAAGTTCTCCAGCAAGTCCATCTTTTATTTTACTTCAGATCTCAGTATACAAACTGTGGCTCCACTTTTTGCTGCCTCGTATGCAGCCATTTTCTGAGCTGTTTCTCTGGCCATGAAGCCATGTTGAAGGATCTTGAACCGCCTTTCCCGACTCTCTTCCAGTTCTTTCCAATGGTCCTGGTGCAAAGAACCCTGCAGAAAAGAAACAAAGATTATCAGACCATAGAGAAAATAATGGCTCAATTTAGATGATGTGCCGAACTTTTATATGATAATTTGTCTGCCTGGTGACACATTCGGCTTGCTAACACGATTGGGAAACATGTCAACTTCAAACCAGATATGATGAATAGAAACAGAAGTTGATTGAGTTGCCCAGCTTAGGATGAATTAAACACAGCTGCAACACTCCACAAAATGTTACGTCAAGGCAAAACTGCATCTAGATTGTTATGCTTCTGTGCCACTACCTTATGTTCTTCCATTGCCAAAAAATTAAACTTGAAACTCTAAAAAAACAGTTGCAAAGATCCTCTCTTTCAAACTCTACTGGTTTATGGATTCAAAAACTTGATTCAAAAGGCAGCACTGCCAAGAAAGCTCAGAATAAACATAAAACTAACTTTCTCATCTGACTCTTTTCTTGAAATGACAGAACAATGTGTTTTCTGTTAATGACAGTTTTCTTCTAGTTCATTTTCTAAGTTGTAAGATAAATTCTGCTTTATTAAGAGCTGAGTAGTGATTTATGCATAACCTTTATCTTTGTTTATATTAGCACAAACTTTCTGGGCCAAAAGGGACATCACAAATGAAGCCACAATCGGTACTTGGAGCTTTAATAAGGGAGTAAGTCTCATTTTCTCCAGTTTGTTGAGATCTCTTAAAAGGCAGCAGCACAAACATATTGCTAGATAACTATTGCATAAGGGCAAGAATTCTTTTTTATAGTCACACTACCACAATTTGCAGCAATATGTAGTTCAGCATAAACTGAATAAAGATAGAAGTAAATAAAGATGTAGCTGGACCTAACTGGTCACAGTTAAGCCACTTCTCTGTAATAACACCCGAATACAGTAAGAGCTGAACAGTACTGATGGAACATACACCAAAATATCTAAATAATTTATATTAACCCTGAGTTTTTTTCTATTGGATTTTTCTTACACACTCTTAGCATTTGTGCAGAAAGTAAAAGCACTGTGATGTCTTCAAAGACTTATAGCTAAACCAAATAAAAAGGCAAAACCTAATATCAAAACAGCTTTGAACCTCTGTCTTTTTTTGCATATTTATGTGACACCAGAGCACTCACAGGGTCCCTCATCAGGTAGTCAAAAGTTCTAGCTATTAATTTATAATTTCTTTTGGTTGATTTTTTAAAAAATGATTCACATGTTGCAATTATATGGCTGCTTCCCTTTGAAGTCTCCATTTACTGCTTTCGTTTTATTCTGGATCCTAGTCAGGAAAGCTTTTAAGCTCATGTTCAAAGCCTCAGTTCAGAAAGCCACCTCAATTTAAAAAATGCTTTCTGGAATTGGGCCCTTGCCTGCATGCACCTACATCTTTTTTGTGTGGCCTAAAATGGGGATTTGTAGGGCAGCAAACATTGATACTCTGAAAAAATGGCACTATTTACGTTTTTAAACTATACACACTTGAAAAATACAGCTTTTCTCTTCACTTGAATTCAGCTTCATCAAAGCTTCTCAGAAGATAGGTCAAGATTTATTATTTTAACAAATGGGGAGGTATCGTTCTAACTTTCCATAGGGCTAGCACAGCTTTTAAGAAGCGCCTGTTGGCTGCAGTGTCTCATAAGCTGCGGTAAACGCACGGGTGCTGCTGCCTCTGCCGCCTCCTCACACGTGGCCACCACTTAGGAGTGGTTGAAGCAGCAGCAGGTCCTGCTCCTCTTTAGACACTTGCCAAGGAAACACAGCCAGTGTTACCTGTCAAAAAGCCTACGGGCCTAGTGGTGCTTCTGTATCTTGATGTGGGACCAGGCTGAGGAAAGGCGAGATAAAAATGATGGAGATGATAAACTGGAACCTTCCTTGGGTGGAAGTGGGGTCAGGGTCACAGCTGGGTGTCGTGGGATGTGTGTGATAGGAAGGAGAGAAGGACGGAGTTAGGGAAAGGGATACGATCTTGTTTTGGTGGGAAAGGAGTATGTGGTAGGAGAAGACAGGGATCATATGGATGAGCCCTGGCCTGTGGTAGTGGATATAGTAAGAGGATGAGGTGGAGGCCATGGTTTGGACAGGCACAAGAAATGCACATACGAGAAGCAGGGGGCTGGTGTTGCCACTGCTATATGGCAGCACCTGCCAGTAGTGCAGTTGAGCAAAGAAAGTCTGTGAACACAGGAATACTGCAGATCGTTTTTCTTTATGTAGCTCCCAGACCTTGGCTGATGTCATGCTGGTTTTCTGGGGAGTAATCTTTAGGAGTTCTGCTTGCTTTTTACGCTCCATTGTTTTTTCCACAATCTTTTGCTGCAGGTTTAAAACGCGTTCATCTTTCACAGGCCTTTCACCAGACTGGGACTTTCTTTTCTTGTCTTCTTGCCTGCAAAATCAAAAAGAAACAAAGAAAAGGTAAAATAGTATCAACCTACAAAATAATCCATCTGAGCATATATTACTTTGATAATAATGAATTTGTTCTTGCCTCTGAGGACTAGCTAAACAGAAAACAGGTTTAAATCATATCGCTCAGTGAATGCGCTATTCACAACTTGCTGCTTGTTGTGTACAGAACAGCACTACTAAACAGTATAAAATATATATTTTTTTCCCTCACAGGATGCACTGATGAAAATATCAGAGGCATTTCAAGACCGAAATTCTTTAGGAAAAATATGTGCAAGACCTGTGATAGTACTGCAGTTCTTTGCTTGTGAGAACTATGGCATCTTCTTTATATAATCATTAGTATTCATCTTGATTGCTATATTCCTTGGCAACAAAGATATTCTTTTCTGTGTAATCTCAGTGCCCAAATTCAGAATCAATGGGGATAATGATACATAAATTGAGGTTAGTGGGTCTAGGTGGGGAAAAATTGATAGTACAGTGTGTAGCATAAAAATAAGGAATAGGAGAACAGTTATTTGATAGTCTTCCTTATTTTTACTTTTGCTTTTTTTCCTCTGCTTTTATATTCTCTGGACTTTATATTTTATCAGTTTTTGCTTATTTTCACCAAGCTGGCACCATGTACTTGTAACTTTTTTTTGTGCAGGTTACATTACCTTACATAGTGACTCACTTACATCCAACTTTCTCTTTTATTCCACATTGCTCTTGCATTTGGCTCAGTGACATTAAGTTGTAGTATTAATATTATGTCATGAGCAGCTGTGATTCTCAAGCCCAGTTCAGAACTAAAGTAAGTATCAGCCTACCAAAGGAGATACATAATGATATTACATGTCACTATTATATCTTCTGTCAGCTGGAAAGGTCGCAGAGCTTTTTACTTTTACTCCAAGTTTGTAAAAGGTCCTTTCTCTTTGCTGTAGTACAACATTTCTCTGCAATTGCTTTTACTGGAAACCACAGTAAGACTCTGAACGACCTGCTCAAACAGGGAATGCACTGGGGCCTTTTTTAGCTGGTATGGTAGCTAACTCTGTGAACAGCAGAACTAATTCACCAGTAAGTTTCCCCTTGGAGTTGTTTTACCACAGAAGCCTTCCCTTATCTCTCAGGTCTTATACTGCAGTGTTTTCAGTGTAAGACACACTCTTCCTAAGGAACAGGAGGAAGACTAAGAGGGAAGAAGTCCCTCCTGATGGTGAGGTCACCAGTTCACTTTTAAAAGTGCCCATATCAAAACCCCAGTGATCCAAATACTTCTTTTTACCGTAGGTGAAATGGGTTGTGTCTGTATTGTTAGCTTCATCCTTGCTGTGATTAATATATGGAAAAAGGGGCACAGTTTAGATTGGCTTCTCATTTCCAGTTGCTTTTCTGGGACAGTCCTGAACTGTTCTGCCACTTGCATCATGGTATCTGGATGGGATAACTCTTCCTTATCCTCCTTAATATAATTACTTATTCTGCTACAGTGAGATTAATTTTTAACACTGATGTCTAAAAAACCTATGTTCTAACATTTGTAAGTGTAAAAATTATACTCTATTAATGAATCTGATTGAGAACATGGATTATTTCTATTTGCACTGTAATGAGGCATTGCATTCCAAGGGATATAGGAGTATCACAATAGAATTTTATGAAAACACTTCATGATTAAATATTGTCACTGGGAATAGGCAACAAAACCTTTCATTACATGCAAATCCAGATTCTTGTAAATACAATTACAGAAAAAACAGCAAGAGGTTTAACATCATGAAGCAGCAGCAGCTGCTTCTGAATTAACATTGTAAATAGTTGCTTATTATCTGTCTAATGTTCAGTCTTCTCCTACATGAAGTCATGTGCTCCTCATCTGCATCTATTCCAAAAAGCAGACAGTTTCATAATTTTCACATCATTTCTGGGAAATTCCAAGAGGGGGAGGCATGAAAAAAAGACTTTAAAATTCTAGTGTTTTGTGATGGTCAATTGAGAACTTCAAAGTAGAGAAAGCTCATACAATCTCTGCCTCCCCTATTACCTATTTCCAAAGAAAGTAATGGAACAGCCACTCAGAATGGGATAGTACATATTTAGAAAAATCATCTCCAGATTCAGTAGAAAATTGTGTCATAATTTATAACAAAAAAAAAAAGTGGGAGTCCATCCATCTTGCTCTGTATAGCAATTCCCTGATTCTTCTCTTACACAGGGAATCCAAGGAGGACTAGAGTCAGGTGGGACTGCCTGCCTGGAGGAGCAGCTGCAGAATTTTGGTCACCATCCTTCTCTTCCTCACTGCACTTCACCTGGACACTGCCCAGTCTTGGAGTGAGAGGAGGTTTGGGCAGCAGACACCATCATGTCCCTTGGAAATAAGCAGGAAAAAAACACACAGGCAAGAACAGGAATGGCCTGCTCTGTGTGCAAGGTCTTGCTTAGGTGGCAGGGGGTGATGGGGGCACTGACACGCTGCTGTTTTGATTAGCTGCAATATAGACCGAGCCCCGCTGAAATAAAAGGGAATTGTACCCGAAATGTGCAGTGTAATACATTAGCAGGTATTGAAACAGTCATAAACCTTTTGGTACTCACTGGTGTTCCTCAAGCTGAGGAATCCAGTGTTTGCCCACTGCACACAGCAGTGCAAGCTGTGCAATGCCAGCAGTGAAGGGGAGGTGCTGCGCGCACGCACGCTGCGCTGCCTCCTCGGGTGCTCTGCAGCCTCCCAGCGCCCTGGCTCTGACGGATGCCACGGCTTGCAGGCTACTAAGGCTGATGTCTTGGTAATTTTTCAGGTTCCATTTCCTATTTTGTGTAATATAATTCATTACATGTTATTATGTACTTCTTTTGAGTTGATGCATGTCTGTTTGCAAATTATATTGAAAAAAAAGCTGCTCAGTAGGGACCCAATTAAATTTCAACTGATTCCAACTAAAATACATCTGTTTAGCAAAGCTTAGCTGCCATACCTTAGCTGATTAGTAATAACCTTCAATGTAGTGCAATTTAAGATACAACATGCAATTTTGTGTTGATATATACCAATATCTTGTGAGCACAATGGATGAGATTGGCCTTTCTATCTGAATAATTATTAATTCTGTAATCACAATCATTTGATCTTCACTTCTCCAGTGTATCAGTGCAATACAAGCAATTAATCACTCATACTGATTTGAGTGATGTTTCAGGATTAAGCATCTGTAAGTATGTTTAACACATAAAGGCCATAATTTCTTTTGAAAAATAGTTGCTGGAAATTGTTTATTATCTGTTAATAAGCCAATATGCCATACTCCTATATTAACAGAAATACTACCACAGATTTGCATTCTAGATGCTGTTAAATGCAGTCTTGAAGAACAACATTTCTGTAATACTTTGATGATGCTGCTCTACAGTAGATGATGCTTCCAAATTACTTATGATTGCTTGAGAGCTGTGAAAGGAAAAGTCTTGCAACATCAAGTTTCATATATAATGAAACTTATTATTTTATTCATTTGGAAAGCTATCTAGGCTTCATTAAAATAAATTACATTTCTGTATTACTTAGCATGAATCTGAACAGAAGCCTGCAAATTAAGTGTTTAATTTCATTTGGATTCTGTCATGTTTGGCATGGTGGTTGGTTCTAAGTAACATTTCAAATTTATCAGGACAACTAGTTTCTTATTCAGATATAGCTCATTTGAAGATCGGAACAGTTTTAGATCTGAATTAAGCCAAAGAATATATTTTAAAGAAACCCAGCACCACATGAAATGTGAAGGCTGCGTATCCGGTGTAACAAATGATTCTTTGAGTAGTTACTAGAGAAACTAGAGGAACAGATTTTACATGATATACAAGCTCAAACTCTAGTTTGAATCTGTAATGAAAAGTAGTGACTTAAATTGCTCCCACAGGCTTTCACAGCAATGGATGTTTTCAGATAAGGGTTTATTTCCATGTGCAACTCATTTCAGATTTGTTAGTCTTAAAACCTTCTCTTTATGAACGTCCTCCAAGGGAAAGTCATTGATTTTTGCAATCAATCCACTGGCTTTGCAATTATTGATTCATTAAACTATCTTCTTAAGTACTACTTAACTTCCTAACGCTGTCTTCCGAAGTACAAAGACAGCATCCCACTTGCTGGAGATTAACTATCAACAACAAACTAAATTAGAGATCAGACCAGTGAGAGCTAGTTCAATGCATACTTCAGTGCTGCTTTCTGCGATTGAGAATTAGAATTGCAAGATAAATCAATAGCATGAACTGAGCTCTAAGAAGCCACTTTTGGTACCTCAGCGATACACACAAACCAGAGACATTTCTAAAGGCCTGTGCCTCTAGCCTTACAGGCGATGTCTTCAGAATCTCGGCATGAATATCTGTTTGCAGATAAATATGGCAAGACAGGGAGTAAATTACAAACAGAAGGGCAAAGATGAAAGACAACTTGCAAGGAAACAAGGGCAACTAGTCAAGATGCAGCAGAAATGGCATAAGATCAAGAGGTGTGCAGTTTGCTACACTCATGCAGGCTTTTTTCCTGCTCAGCTTTATTTGTAAATAGTTTTAACTTTATCACTTTGTGAAAGGGCTTCTGCACATGTGAAGTATCTACAGTACTCATGGATCCTTTATAATAATGAATAATAAATATAATAATAAATAATAGATATGAATAATGGATATAAATTTTGATCAGAGAGCCTGTAAGCAAAGATTTTGCTCTTTGATCTATGGATTCACTATCTTGAATTTATTATTTGTTATTATTATAAGAAAATCTCCTTCCTATAATATCTTTAACTTCAAAAATAAAGCCTGCCCTTCCACACAAGAAATGTGATTCAAGGAAGAAAAATACAGCCCTATCATATTAAGTAAAAATGAGAAACCACTTTAAAGTCGCCATTTAGGATGATTCCAATAAAATCAAATTGCTTCTGATTAACTGGAAGGGAACAATAGAAAGGCATAGCTGCTTTTCCCAATATATGATCTTGGCTCCGAATCCTGCGGCAATACTGTCACTGGCTTAAGGAGTGTCTTCAACCATAAATTCAAATTAATGAAAAAGATTTGTTAAATCTGAAGCAAATTACTTCCAAGAAAAAAAAAATCTAGGCCCCACTAATCTCTGAAAAAAGTCCTCCTGATTTATAAAAGCGCAGGATTTTGTTCTATGCTTGCTTTCCTTATTAAAGGGCTAGGAAAATATTAATAAAGTTGCAATGGTCTTAAATGCCACATGCTGTTTTATACTGACTTTAAAGCAGCTGCTCGTCCAAGTTCTGCTCTGAACAGGGAAATCTGGTCTAGTTTGTCTAGAAGAAGTTGTTCCTTAGCTTGTTTGTCTTGAATTATCTGGTCTCTCTTCTCTTCCTCTGCTGCCTTCTGTGTTTCTCTGAGTAGAGCGAGGCGTTCACGCAGTTCCACTATTGACATTTCACAAATTAAACCATGGCCACCAGTCTAGAGAAAATGAAATATTGGTTCAAATAACACTTTTTAAATAGCAAGGGAAGAGTAAATGAGTAAAACAAGAATATTTCCATTGTATTCCAAATTATACTGAATGTTTTGACTTCAAGAAAGATAGGCCTTCACTTATCATTTATCACAAACCTTTCAGGTGGTAGAGGTCATCTTTTGTATTTGTCAAAATATTAGGCTTATAAAACTTTTTGTGAAAAGAAGTTGAAATATACACTATTCATAAATGTAATGTATTTTAGGGCCAGAAAAAAATGGCATGGATTTTTAAAGTTTTATTTGACATTTGTAAAACTATATATTTTTTAAAAAATTTGTAAAACCAGAAGACAGGTTAGTCCCCCCCAAAAATACTTTTTTTTTTTTCTATCTATTTCCAGGTTATGGATTTGACTATGATGTGTACCCACTGTTTTTCTCTTGGAAGACTAGGAATAAACAATGATTTCTACCCCGAAAACTGCGGTCCTTATCAACTGATAAAACCTTATCAATATGCACAGGTATCTGAAGGGAGAGCACAGAGAGGATGGGGCCAGCCTCTTTTCAGTGGTGGCCAGTAATAGGACAAGAGGCAAGGGGCACAAATTGAAACAGAGGCAGTTCTGTTTGAACATAAGGAAAAACTTCTCGACTGTGAGGGTGACTGAGCGCTGGAACAGATTTCTCAGAGGGGTTGTGGAGTCTCCATCCTTGGAGCTCTTCAAAAGTTATCTGGACCCAGTCCTTGGAAATGTTTCCAGGTGTCCCTGCTTGAGCAGGGGGGTTGGACTAGATGATCTCCAGAGGTCCCTTCCAATCTCAAGCATTCTGTGATTCCATGAAGGCTTTGAAAAATCCACTTCCGAATGAGAGAGAAAAGTGCCTAATTCTGAGATGTAATGAGAAACATCCGCATCTTTGAAAGTCCCAAGGATGTTGCAGATGAAGACAGATCATTTCTAAAATGATTCATGAAATCTTGAAGTTTTCAGGCCCTGCTCATACATATACTTCCTTTCCTTTTGTCTGCCTAGATGGAAAAATTACACAACTGCACAAGCTTTTATGTAGTTTTGTTTGCAAAATTTCATCCATTTCACAGCAACTAATATTCCTTTCTCCAGCTTAACATATAGTTTGGTATGTACCAAGCATTCTGGTGGTTATCATGAAATATATGAGTGCAGGAAGTTAAAAATTTTAATCTGACTTGCTATATGGTTTTCTAACATTAAAAATGAAACAGTGGTAGGAATATTCATCACAAAGATTCATTTCCATAGAACCAGTAACAGAAAACTAATGACAAAGTTTGGGAAGGATGTATGGGGAGCAAGAAGAAAACAGCTCTT